GGGCGTTGTGGGGGTAATTGAGCTGTTGTGTCATTAGCTTGGTTGACATGTTTACTGTTGCATCAGTTATGCTAACTGGACTTCTATGGGACAGTTTTGTGTCTTACTTTTTTTTTCAAGATGATCATGATAATAACAAGAAAATTGAATGTAAAAGTCTTTTTTTTTATTCCCACTGTGTCTTTTTGTGTTTGCTCAAAGAAACTTCAAAAGAAAACTTTGGTTTTATTCCCTTTTTTCTGAGTAAACTCTGGAAGGTCTTCACCGTGAGATACATATGTTATGAATTTAGCGCCATATAAATAAAACTAAACTGAACTGAACCAACAATAATAATAAGGAACTGCAAAAATATGACTAAAAACATTGTATTGGGAAGTATGTAGGTGTTAGAGGAATAAAGATAACAAACCTAAGTTTTTGTTGCATCAAAACTTTAGCTGTAAATTCATCAGCTCAATCTCCATACTTAATAAATCTGTAGCATCTTAGTTTCAATATCTATATTAGTTAGTTTTAGATCTGTAGTTTATAATACGTAGAGTCTGAGCTCTATTATTACAACTTATTCTACATTGTGTGTTACGCATTGTAATCAGGTGAAGTAGTATTTTTTTAGTAATTTTTGTAGGGTTTTTATCTCTATATGTAAATTATTCTGGTAAAATTACACCATTAATAACACCATGAGGTCTAATATCATATCCTGTCTTACTAGAAAACACTTTAGATGTGCTACACAACAAGCAGTGACTTGTATCTGTGGAATCAGGTTCCTGTCCTGGTTTGTGAGGCAGTAACCCGCAATCAGGAAACTGTTTTCCAAACTGCCGGCCCCGAGGAAAGTACAGAAAAAGCTGCGTGTGAGAAATAAAGTGGACTGCACCTGGACTAAATTTAATGCATCAATGGCTGCACTCATTTGCATGTAAGTCAGCTTTTGCCTGATTAAAAAAAAAAAAAACCCAGTGTGATGGTGTGTTGCTTATACTTTGCAGGCTGAATGTGTTTTTTGAAGGTGAAAAATCCTCAGTGGTTCCTTACCTGAAAGAAAAGGATCAAACTCTGTCAGCAGAACTTAGTGCAAAATGATGTGATTTCTCCTCTTTGTCAGCGGATGGAGTTTTAAATTAGAGGCCGAGCAGGATAAATGTGAGATGTGGAGTTCTCGGAGGATTATCATTCTAAGCGGTTCTGCAATTTCTGACATTTTTCAGCTCAGATAATGACTAATCTAATAAGGCGGGCGAGGACAACCGCTGCACTTGTGTGAATCCACGTATGTAAGTGTTATTTGTTAGGATGCTGTTGCCGTGGAGATTTAGCGGATGATTACACGGAGATTTATTTGGCCTCTTGTTTATCAAAAAACAGCCAAACTGTTACTTCATCTGCTGTAAAGTCATAATCCGGAGAAGAATATTCAATCAGAGGTCGGAGCTTCGCCGTCTGAAGTGAGCTGGCTGAGTTAACCTGGAGGTGAACCGAGCAGCAACGTCTGGCCTTTCAGCTGTGAATCATTTCAGAAAGCAGCAACTAAGTCCTAATTGTGTTACTCCGTGTGGCGTTGTGAACGTTGCACAGTCCCATGACACCAGCATCAGCACAGAAACCAGTCATTGTGTTGTCACCGGGCAGGATTCAGGTAAATAAAGAGAGTACATTTGGCTCTATGTCGAGAAAGTTCAGCTTGGAAATCCCAACTTTGTCATGTTGTGCACACCGTCTTTCTCTGCATTTTATTACTTAAACACCATCATAACTTCCATCTAACACGTGAAACCTAACTAACTTGTGGACAATAAAAAAAGGGACAGAACTGAAATCCTCTTTGCTGCATTTTAATGAATCCATCTCATCATATGTTTTCACATTTATTTGGACACGTTGGGAGTGTCGTTATGGTGACAGTGGAGTGATGAAGTGAGGAGGAGCCACAACCTGAGGCTATAAAGGACACTTTCTTTGCCAACTTGTTGACCAGAACCAGAACCAGCCTGCTCTGAGTGCACCTGAGGACTAAAGACAAGGAAAGGTAACTTCTACTTCTTCTTCTTCTTCTTATTTTATCTGTTGCAGCCTTTACAAAAGATTTCATATTTTGATGGATTGAACTCAAATGAAGTAGCATCTGAGTCCTGGGACGACTTAGTGAGTGATGCCTAAATCTCCTGCACAAGATGTATGTGATCCAAATATAAGCATATAATTCATTTTGATGCATGTAGCTTAGCAGTCAAGCTGCTGATCATTCTTGACAGGGATGATATACGAGTACATACCAACGGCAGATCCAGACCATTTTCATGCCGTGCTGAGACAATTAGTCACATTGAGATGGTTCAGTGTTCTGTTCAGTTTTCCTTTTTTGCTGCAAACCAATTTTTTTTATTTCTTGGTCACTCACTTTTATTATTTCTTGTGCAGGCCAACCTACTTTATAGAAGTACACGAGAACTTATATGCAGTATAATAATAGTAATAAAAAGCTCTTTATGTAGCTCGCAGTGGATTAAAAGTCTGGAAGAGTTGCTTAAGTTATGCTTTTTTATTCATTTAAAAAACTCCCGCTGTGTCCATCCAGCCTCTACTTTAAGTCTTTTGGCTCCAGATTCTGGTTCAGTCTGACGTTGTTCAGCAGTTGACAGTCTTCAATTAAATCCACAGCTAAACCTAAATCATTTTAACTAATGAATCATGTACAAATAGATAATTTACATCTAAAAATAGATGAATTTTGACACTCTATACACACTCTTTAATGAGCACTTTGTGATTGGTCAGAACTTCTTGCACCTCGACCTCAAATAAATGCAGAAAAAGTTCTGCAAGACAAATGGCAGTTACTGGATATAAGTCCAGTTCTATACATGCAGCTCTCTTCTAGGCTTCACTGTTGGTTGGTTTTGTGGTGAACAGATTTTAGTGTTTTGTGGAGATCCGTCCCTGATAACAAGGTCAATATATATATATATACCCATTACACATAAGCATGCCTCGATGGTAAATATTTTTTGCCTTATTTTCCATGTACGTGACCCATTTTACTGATTGAAGCACCTTTAACCAACAACACATTTCTTTCCAGTGACCTGAGGAAAATACTTAAATAATTCTGTAGCTGGATCTCACGTGAACATCTGTATGTTAAGCTGGACACCAGAGAATCCCTGTTGTTGCACATTCCTCTTTAAGTACCAGATAAAATCCAGAATCAATGCACCATTATGCTTCTGCATGACTCAGGGTGTTTTCTGTGGTCTGTTAGCGCATTCCTCGTGGTTCACTATTTATCGGTCCTCCAGCGTTGACATGTGCTGCCACTTTGACATCCTGACAAGCTGTAGAGTCCTCTGGTGGACGCCTAGAGAACTAGTTCTTCTCTCTGGAGCTCGGCGAAGCTCGCAGCTGTGCAGGTTCTGTATGTAGAAGTGGAAGGAGTACTGAGATCTTAAGTAAAAGTACCAAAGGGTAGAAATACTCTGCTACAAGTAAAAGTCAGTAGTAGTCAAAATATACTGAAAATAGCAAAAGTAAACGTACTGATTATGCAGAATCACTTAATTACTGAAACTAGTAAAGGTGATTTAACTACTTTATAGCTTATGAGTTTCCAATCAGGAGTTAATAAAGCTTATGTTAATCCTTAATATGGCAGCTTAACTAGAAACAAAACATGATTTTTTATGAGCTCTTCATATGTTTCATGTGCAAAAAAGAAGAATAAAAAGTTACGGAAGCTACTAGATAATCGTACAATATTTTCCTCATAATGTTGTGGAGTGGGGGATAGAAAAGTAGCAGAAAAAATGAAATGCTCAGAATTAAAGTTAAATTTACTTAAATAAACACATTTAGCTACGTTCCACCACTGTATGTACACCGTTATGAGAAACAGGTGAGGACATTTCATACAGTTTCAAGCAGCTTTTGTAGTTTTAGTTTATATCCATTAAATGGACATTTAAATTCTTTTGTGATTGCAGACTGAGATTGGTTTACTTCTGTATGGATTTTTCTGTCTTTTGAGGTTTGTTTGTGATTTAAAAAAAACCCTGTAAAACAAGTAAAGTGCTGTTGTTCTTGCAGGCAGCATGGATGTAAGTACCTCATCACACTCTCAGATCTCCACACTGGTAAGAACCACAAACAGGTTTTCTCCTCGTTGTTCCCTCTAAATATAAACGCTTGATCTTTGCTTATGTTTGCGGCTACAAGTTGGTGTCGTCCGTCCTGTCCACGCTCGCTCTCCCTCGGATCTCCGTCCACGCTCCTGACCCTCCTCTCTCTCCGCCCTCCCCCTCTCCTCCTCTGGCTCAGCACTCTGACCCTCTGTGTGGCAGCTGCCCGCCTGGTTCTGCCCCACAGTCTAGCAGCCTCTGGCCCACTCTGCCCCAGTCTGGAGCTGGGTTCCCTGCGTGGCCCGGTCAGCCCGCCCAGCCAGCCCCCTGCTGGACTGGGCAGCCCAATACACCCTGCTGGCCCGCGACGCAACCGGCTCCGGTCTCGGTTCCGGCTCCCATTTCCCTTCCGGCCCCCACTCAAGTCGTAGCTCCGGCTCCTGCACCGGCTGCCACCTTGGTTCCGGCTCCGGTTCAGGTCCCGGCTCCAGTGAACCCCTGTCAGCCGTGCTGGCCAAACACCCAGTACCAGCCGGCCCAGCCACCAGCCCCCATCCAAGCTCCGGTGCCGACTCCAGTCCCAGCAGCTGCACCTGCGACCATCCGTCCAGGTGTAGCCGGTTGGCCCGCCCACCCCGGCTGGCCCTATAACCCGGGACAGTCCGGATGGCCTGGACAGAACCCATCCCTCGTGCCTCAGCACTGGCTCCCGCCCACATCTGGGCCTCTAGTGAGTGAAGGAATGTGTGCATCTTGTAGCGCTGCTGGTTGGCTGTCGGGTTGTCTGACCGTCTCTTTGCTGTCCAGAGCGTGCCGTACAACTTGAACCTGGCCCGAGGCGTGTACGACAAAATGATGATGACCATCTTGGGCCATGTGAAGCCCAACGCTAGGATGTAAGCTGCTCTGATGCTGATATACTGTTTTCTTAAATCTTTATGACTGAATTTTTTGCTAAACTAGAAAAAAAACTGATAAAGGATTTAAATGTGGGTCTCCTGCAGGTTCACAGTGAACTTCCTGAGAGGCAACGACATCGCCTTCCACATCAACCCTCGCTTCAGCGAAGGCGGGAAACAGGTTCTGGTCCGCAACCACAAACTGGGCGAACGCTGGGGCGCCGAGGAGAGGGACCTAAAGGGGCCTTTCCCCTTCGCCCTCGGGAGCCCTTTTGAGGTGAGAAGCAGAGACAAGAATCAGACAGAAGGCAGCAAACGGATCAACTAAAGATGCTGTAAAGATGTGTAGCATGCAGGGGTGCAGATTTTGCATGAGCACTGGGGAGGCACATTACAGGGGTCTTGAAATTTTCACCATGAAACACCTCATTTCCTTCCTTCTGGTGAGCTTTTATGCACCAGTTGTGGTTAAAATCTCTTTAGTTATGTAGCAGAAAGCACAAAATCCAGGCAAAATGAGAAAATATTATAGCATGTCTTGAAAATTTGTTCCTGTTTTCCGTATAATCAATATTCCAAAACACTCTTAGAAGTAGAAGAGCTTCAAGGAACCTCTTGGGGTTCCTCAACGTCTTCCGCCACTGTGAAGGAACCTTTTGAGTTAAAAAATGGTTTCTTGAGGAACTCCTGCAGCAGAGGTTACTCCAGGAAAAGGTATTCAAAGAACTATTTGGAGCGGTTTGGGGTTTCTGTCATGAACTGACTTGACAGACAGGTGGACACAAATGCTGGACTCAGAACGGTTCAGGCAAAAAGGCAGGTTTAGGTACACAGGTGGACAGTCACTCAGGCAAAATCCAGAAACAGAATCAGGGTCGTGATCCACAGGCAAAGGTATCCAAAATCGTCAGGCAAGAGGCAAGGTCCAAAAGCCAAAAGCAAGGTCGAGAGCAAACAGGCTGTGACTTGACTATGAGTAACGCTGGTACGAGGACTGTGAAGTGCAACGAGACACACAGGCTGATATACACGAGGTAATGAGGGGAGATGGGAAACAGGTGCGGGGAGGTCATCAGGGAACAGGTGAGACAAGACAGGTGCAGGAAGTAAAACTGGAACAGAAACACCCGGTGACGTGATTTAAAAAAAAAACAAAACAGCAAAGACGAGACATACAATATAGAGACTTGACGGACACGACAGTTTCACTCAGAAGTCATTATTATCAACTGTATTATTATTATTTGTTGTTGTAAAAATAGAAAAAATAGAACATTTTTAGATGTTTCTAAATAAAGTTGAGACATTTTTCTCCTTATTTTCACATTTAGACAAATAGGAAGCTTAGTGTTCAGAGTTATTTACACACAATTATGTCTGGAAAAAAAGCCGACAAGATCCTAATTTGCTCAAACATGCAAAACCAGTTACTAAAAATAGCATTAAAATCTCTGCTATTGTTCAACAGAGCTCCATAATTTATTCAAAAATTAAATGAATAAAAAGAAAATAAAAAATAAATATAAAAATAAAAATAAAATGAATAAAACAGCATGACATAAAGGTGACAAGTCAGTTAAATCTTTACATAAATCTACACAAACCCCCTCCAGGAACCCTGTTTGAGTTATTAGAGGTTCCTCCAGTAACATATTCACTGAACTGAGCTTTCAAAGGTTCTTCCAGGAACCCCACAGGCAAGCAGGGTTACTTGAACTCCCCCAGAGTTCCTTGATGCTCTCCTAATTCTGAGAGAGCACGAAGCTAAGATCAATAAATCATGACCACGTCCGTGCAGAGCTCGTCTTACAGCACAAAGCAGCTGAACCAAGTGTGGCAGCACATATGGGAATTTTTAGTAAACAAATACATCGTTAATACTAATAAAAACTAACGACTAATAAAGTGGAACTAACCACAACTAATAACATCATTGTCAAAGGATTTTTGATGTTTCAGAGCTGCATTTGACTGACTGTAGGTCACTTTCTCATGGTTAACGTCAGGCTAACGCTGGGAAAAGATGGAAGGGGTTGGACAGTCGCTTGTGCAGGCGAGTCCTAGATAAGGGAGCTGCTATACTGCAGGGAGGCTCCTGGAGGTCAGTGGGGGTCTCATGTCGCTCAATAACATCAATAACTGTTATGTTTAACCGGCAGCGCAAAGAGGTGACTAATCTGATGAGCTAACTGTGTCTTTGTGGCTGTGTTTACTGACGCCAATAACAACTATAGACTCGCCCAGGATGCTGTGAACTGATCTGGCATCATAATAAGGGCTGCAGATAACAATTATGTTCATTATTGATTATTTTCTTTTTTAAACAGTGAGCTGTTTGGTCTATAAAATGTAAGAAAATGGGATAAAAAATGAGAATAAGTGTTGCCAAAGCCTAAGATGAGAAATATCAACCCAAAAGATATTTAATTTATTGTCAAAAAATTCTAGTTCAAGAAGCTGGAGTCAAAGAATTTACTTTTTTTTCCTTCCCTAAAAATTGCTCAACCTCATTAATCAGTTATCAATTAATCAGTTATGGTGGTGGCAGCATCATGATGTGGGGCTGCTTCTCTTGTAACCAGAAAGTAATCAGAAAAATTCTAATTTAAGAAGCTGGAGTCAGAGAATTTCCTCTTTTTTTTTCCTAAAAATGCTCAACCTCATTAATCAGTTATCAAAATAGTGGGTGATTAATTTAATAATAGAAAACTAATCAATTAATTAATTCATTGTTGCAGCTTCACACTATAATAATGCACAATATGCAGTGCCTATGAAAAGTGTTTCATCCCCTCTGTGAAGCACGGTGGTGGCAGCATCATGATGTG